GAAGCTGAATATAGATCACTGACTTTATATTGTCTAGTATCGGGTGTTATGCCTCCCATGAATCATCCAGATTTCTATATATGGCTTGCAATAGGCAATTTATCTATGTCTAATCTGTTCATTTTAGGCTCAACGTCTTCATATTCTTGACACCTATGAGCATCCACAACGTGCATTGGTTGGCACAATCGAAGCGACGATCAAATCGGTGGCGGAAGCGGAAGAGGAGCTGGAACGTGAGCCGCACATTGAACTGCCACGATTCCATGACGATTATTCGAAAAGGAAGTAAGCGATTTTTGTGCACAGCGCCATCAAAAGGCTCTATCTGTTTGAATAAAGAAAATAGAATTGTAAATATATTACAGATGGGTTGATGAACAAGTCACCATCAATAAGGAGAATGTTAACGAGCGTTTGGCTGCTATGGGAGCCGCCACTGCTCAGGTGGTGCAATGGACAGCAGTACAGGAAGAGTATGATGATCGCGTTGGAACCGCCATTGCAACCATTGGTTCAAATCTTCCGGATGTTGGAAGGAATGTTCGTGATTTGGCACAATTTATGCCTGAAAGAAGAAGGTAAATGAGGTTTAAAATGAAATTGGATTAGAGGAGATAAAGGTGGTTTTATGTAGAGATGATTTGGTGGAAGCAACTCGCAAACTATGCGGAGCATTTGGCGATTTTCTTCATGCTGTCAACCCTGAACATGAGGTGAGAAAGTTAAAGAAGTTCTAGCATTTTTCGCCGAAGAATTTTCTAAATTTGGAGATTTTAAGAGAAAAATAAAATAAATTTTTTTGACTTGGCTGCAGTACAAATGAAAAATTAAGGGAACAACTTTTTACCGAAGACTCCTTGTTTTTGCCTATTTTTCGCCTAATTGCCTATTTTGCCTTTTATGGCTATCGTAGGTCGATTGTGCCCAATTTAACGGGTTTTTCCTTCTAGGAGAAGAGAACCACAGTCCTGGCAGCGGCTGGACGTGTTGGCGATTTCTCGCAGCAGGTGATCAACACTATGGATGAGCCAACTCATGAACAAAC